ATTTTTATTAGAAGGTATACAGTGTTTGGCAGCAGTATATGACGTGGATTTCAAAAATTGTTATAATTAATCTACAAGGAATTACGAGTGTGCCATATATGGTTAGAAAGCTTATCAAGTCTAGTTTCTAAGCATTAAAGAGATCATAATTCGATTTGGATATATTGAGATATGACTGTTTTAATGAAAAGAGGTCAGGCTGCCAGTATTAATTAGTTAAGTTAACCCTTTGTGTAACTTAGTTGATTTTTGTATAAATGGTCTCAAAAAGGGTTGATTAAATTCTGATCTGTTGAAATGATCTTAGATAGGTCATTAATTATTTTGAAGGAAAAACTAAGTGGTGGAATCGAATGGAGGTAAGTAGAATCTCACACACTTTGCTTGTTTTCGAAATTATATATATATATATGTTTCTAAATGAATGAATATTTTGTTTCATTATTTTCGATGTATGAAAATAGGATCAAGCATATGATTATTTTGTGTTTCCTCTAGATAAATGATGGATCATGCTTATGAATGAAATGAGAAAATAATTTATGTTTAAAGAATGATTTTGTGATGACTACATTTTTACATCCCTAGGAAGTGGGATCATCGACACCAGAACTAGTTTTACGACCTTGACTAATGGTAACAGTAGTTAGCAAAGACATGATCATATGACCCTGGCTAATGGGTAATAGTAGTTAGCTTAAATGTCACGGACCTAAAGGGGAGTCCTGAATCCCACATCGAACATAATAGGAAGGTCACTGGGGTATAAAAGTGTTCACACCATCTCCGTCTTGTGAGGCACCTTTTGTAGGACAAAACCGTGAGGTCAGGGGGGGCTAGAGCAGACAATACCTCACAAGGGTGTGAACCGTGGTAAGAAGGCTGATCTGGGATGCCGGAAAGGTGAATGCTTGGGTTCCGAAGTCGCGCGGGTTCGGAGCTTAAGTCTCGACCCGTGACATAAGGCCCTGGCTAATGGGTTATAATAGTTAGCAATGATCATGAGGATGAAATTATCGATACGACCAATGTCATAGATTATAGCAGTGACCGTAGCTAACGATAAATCAATGATAATGATAATTGATGATGATGATGATTTACGATGATTTTTAATGATTGATCCATGATTTGGTTTGATTATGATATTTGAATTATAATATATTTTGCAATGATTTATGAAGTGACATATTTTGACATTGATTTATGAATTTATGAAATATTTGACAAAACGATGATCTTAAAATATTTTGATATTATGATTTGATGAATGTTTTGAATGATCTATATGATGTGTAAGAAAATGATGCTTGATCTGGTAAGGTATGTGAGCCTATACTTGCTGAGCTGTAGTTTGCTCATTCCCCATTTACTTTTTCTTTATAGATGACTAAGTGGTAAGTTTGGTTAGTCTTGTGTGAAGTTAGAAGATGAAATGGGTAAGATTACTTAATCATCGGAGAATATGTTGGCCAATGAGATTTTAAAAGGTAGTTTTGTATTTTATATGGTTTGTATTTGGATATATAAAGATGTATTATCAGTTGGATTAAAGATATAGATTTTAGGTGGTAGATTATTTTATTGAAGAATTTAGAATGTTTAAGAAAGAAGGCTTCGTATTACTTTGAGATTTTCTTCAAGGTAATACGGTCATGTTACGTCTTGATCTCGGGGCGTGACATAATCAGATCTTAATAATTAGTGGTGATTTTGTGTACTTAATGATGCTAAACATGTACTTGATTTTAGAAAATTTGAGAAATTTTCTAAAATAATGTATTGCATTTAGTTGTTGTTCATAATTATACTTTCGTCACGAATTCAAATATTTGAAGTTTTTATTGTTTAAATTCTATAAGAGAATTTTATTCATGAGTTATGATACACAAGCTTTGACTTTGACTCAAAGTTGATAGCAATATATTCGGTAAAAAGAGAATTTGAGACATTATGATACTGGTGAGGATTGTGGAGAATCAGTTATTACATAATAATTGGTTTATTAAATTAAAAAGAACAATATTTGAAATTGGAGACAACTTGGACAACTAGAGATTTATGTTTGAATTTGCATAGTGAAAATGTATGGGTATAATTTGTTGCATTGATTTCATATGTATTCTAATAGTTAATTGATAGAAAATTTTATATTGTTGGTGAAGAAGAAAAGAAAATAAAAATACTATGTGATATTTTTTTGGTGACTAAATGATTTGTTGATATTGTTATTCAACTTTATGGTTGTTATGGTTATTAACATATGGTGTGAAGCAAATTAAATAAAATTTGGTGGACATATGCTTTTCTTGTTATAAAACAATGCTATGAAAGTTAATTTGATATTTTAGAGTTTTATTATAAGGGAATATCAAAGTGTGCAATGAAAGCCTGATTTGATTTAAGTTTTAAATTTTTATGCTATTGTTAGTTAAGAAAGTGATGAATCTTTAATAAATAAAGACTAATAGATTTTGGATAAGAATATTTTGTGTTCCTTCTATTTTTGGGAAGCTTTATCATTGTTTGACTTTTTTTAAGAAGTGCTTGTGTTGTATCTTGAAGAGAAATTTTTTTTTTGTTATAACAATAGTCATAAGACAAACATTTAATGATTCATTTTGAAGTTTAGTATGAAAGTAGATTTAAGTTTCAAACTTATTTGGATACATGCAATGAAGAAAAACTTTTATTTGCTGAATTTATGGAACAAATGGTTGATAAATTTTAGTTCATTAAAGAATGGTTTAAGTAACCAAAAGAATTATACCAAAATTCAAAGATAAGATTTGTAACTTCAAGTGATTAATCATTTGTACTCAAATGTGTCATCATTAAAAGTGTTACGAGGATTATAAAGCAAGGAAGGTTAAGTTTACGTTACGTAAGGACCTTGAAAGTTATTGGTAGAAATCTTGCCACCTAAGCTATCAGGTGTGCACAATGTATTTCATGTGTCCATGTTGATGTAATATGTCTCTAACCCAAGCCATGTGCTAGAGTATGAACCTTTAGAAGTTTAGAGGATTTAACATACTCGAAATATCCTATTTGAATAACTGATCGAAAAAAGCAAGTTTTGAGGCATAGAACTATTCCCTTTGTAAAAGTTTAATGGAGTGATCGAAAAAAGTAAGTTTTGAGGCATAGAACTATCATCTTTGTAAAAGTTTAATGGGGCAATCTTATACCAAGAGAAGCAACTTGAAAATGAAAGATAATATGAAGAAACGACATCCTCAGTTGTTTGAAAATGAAGTTAAATCAAGTTTTAAGGACGAAACTTTTTATAAGTTGGGAAGAATATACTACTCATAAGAAAAGGACTATTTTTAAGTATTTTATAAATGAAGGGGCTTTTTAATAAAGAGTTAGAAAGGCAAAGGACTTATTAATAACTAACCCATTTTTTTAATAGGGTTTATATTACTTATTTGACCCACAATTAATCAAAAGAAAAGAAGCGTTTATTTCTTCTCTTTTCCTTAAGCAAACAAGTTGAAGGATTTCAGTTGAAGGTCAAGAACAAAATCTACAAAGAGAGTTGTCTCTCAAATGTGAGTAAATAACTTCAATTTTGGAGAAATAATTTTGATTGATAAATCTTGAAGTTTAACTTATAATCGAAAAATCTTAAAATCTTAGGAAATCTATTATCCTCTTCAAGATTGGTTTGGACAATACTTTAGACTTTGAATTAGCATCTAATGAAGTGTTGAGAAGGTTAGTAGTATGATTTTTGGCTGTAAAATAGAAATTAGAAATTAGAAAGGATTAGAAAGGAAAAATTCTGTTTCATATGAATCATGATATTTGCAGTGATGGATTAAAATAATATTCTGGATTAAGAAGATAAATATTATTATGATTAAAATATATCGTTGGAAAGTTTTTTGAAATCTATTTTTCATGAAAGAAACAAGAAGTTGATTCCAAGTTTTTCAATGAAGAGTTGTCTAATTTTTACTTAAGGATGTACAAGTTACCTAACAGTAGCA